CTCCTCCCCAAGTCCAGCACCCCCCGCCCCAGCTGGGCAGCTTATCCCAGCCCCAATCTCTCCCTCCCCTGTGCCCCTTCTCTCCTCCCTCTGCCTACCACAGCAGACATACCAGCTGGAGGCAGCTGTGTCCAGTGTTGTAAGGACTTCTGCCTGTTTAGTCTACGGCTGAATCTCCGAAGCAGCGCCGAATTGGGACAGTGATTTGAATCTCCAAATCAAATTACTGTCCCTCTAAATGGACCAAATCTGAATCCAAAATGAATACTTGCCACTTCACACAGCCTACTGGCCACAGACACATTCCTTTCTCAGGCCATCAGCTTGTTAAAAGATCCAATATTTCTCTCCTATCACTCACCAGAAAAGGCTGAAGCCACGAGCTTTCCATATTTTAATTTCCTGTTATAAGCAAATGATCAAAGCTGCTGAAAATTTACCTTCCAGAAGTTTGTACCAACAATATCCCCTTATAAGACGGAGAATTCACTCTCTCATGAACAGTGCTTTATAGACAGACAAGAAACTGCAATGTATTTACCTTTTCAGGGTGAATCTGAGCCAAATACAGGCTAGGAATTACCATTTACATTTTCTTAATACCTCAGAGTCTAAGGTTAACTGTGTATCATACTCATCAAAATGGACAGAGCTCTTCTCTTCCACAAATAGATAAAAGAATCAGCAGAAGCATAAGTTATATTATTTCTTATTTGTTGCCCAACACAAATATGGAAACCTTCCAAAGTTTTAATTATATGATATCCTGATTAAACGTGTTAGATGGCAGAGCCCAGGTTCACAATTAAAGTTGCCTACAGAAGCTTAACACTAAATTTCCTGACTTTAAAAAAAAATGTATTCTACACGAAATAGACAACTGGTGTATTTTATGGAGATTGGTTTATCTAAAGTATCCATATTGGTATCCCTATTCAAAATCTGGACGATGTATTCAAGTTTTATTGCAATACACACCTTCCTGCAAGCCTATGAACAAGCATTCATTTTATATAAATAAAACCTCCACACAGAAAAATAATCCTGAAGTCAGTATATCTCAGATACAGTATCTTTACTTCAACTTCATGACAAGCCTCTTTAGAACAAACTCAAACAATTACATTGCCGAAGCTCATCATAACTCTCAGCTCTGCCAATCAGTGCAATTTCTGCTTTAAAATACTTCTACAGTAAGGCTATCAAAGTTAACCGTTTGCAAAAGGAATACAGAGTACTGAAAGAGAAGCATGAAAGAACACATGTAAGGTTCATGCCTAGATTGGGCATTTTCATTTTGGGAAGGCAGGTCATCCAGGGAGGATTCATTACACAGATGTTTATTGAGAACACAGGTCATGAAAGTCAAAGGAAAAGCTGAATCATTTTAACTTTGTATATATAACTTTACATATATTGATCTTCTTAGCAGCTGTTTTAAGAGTGATTCTCAAAAACTTGCCATACACTTGAGTGTTTGTTTTATAGGCACTGCTTTGTAAGAGTACTACTATATCCCTACGTAGGTTCTTATGTTAAAATTTTAAATGAAAGCAGAGGTTGGGTAAAACCCTATTCCAATTCACTTGCCATCACCTACCTATGTAGTCCTGGAGCTAGATTTTAGTCACCACTGTTCGTATTAAATAAGCTCTAACCCAAAACGTTCCCAAACTTTTTCTTATTATATACCCACTTCCAGATTTACCAGCTGCCCATGTACCCTTACCAGCACATGCTTTATATTTTAACACCTTACATGCCAATTATTATTATAATGAAAATTAAATCAGCTATTAACAATTTATCCCACATACCTCCCCAGAGATGTCTTGTGTACCCCCAGGGGCATACATACCACAGTTTGGAAACCCCTGCTCTAACCTATGAGTAGTCTCACTGAAACCAATGTACTAGATGGTATCTTAAATAACACACCTATAAAAGAGGAGTGAGATTTCTGCACACACCTTACATGTGGGCACAAAGAAATAAGCATGTGTTAGGCACCCTTCTAGCCCCTATGCCAGAGTGTGCATACCCATCCCCTAGTCATACCCACAACTCCAGCCCTTAACATGTCAGGCAGCCCAGCAGTGCATCAATGAGGGATGTCATAGTTTGTTGCTGCAATTAAATCTAGCAGTAAAATACCAGCCTCACAACCCAAGAACAAAAGTCAAGCTTGAAATGAGCAGTGCTTCAGCCTCTGAGGTACTGGACATATGGACAGACACAAACCTTGGAAAAAAGCACACTATGACAGTTGCATACAAACAAGCAATCTGTACATTTGAAATCAGAGGTAATGAGCAGGTTATACAGAAAAGGTAGGCATATGAAAGCATGACAAATGTAGCTCTGATTCATCCAGGAGTTAACATGCCATTTTTGGGGCAAGGGAAACTGTGGTTAGAGGCTGTGATGTTTTCTGCTTTTTTCAAATCAGCACAGCTTGACCCGTCAAGGGTTAATCCCTTCATGCGCTCATGGTCTGAGGCAGCTTACATGCCATCTCTGCTTGGGGCTGAGCCAAGGGACAATCTTGCCCAATAAGAATAACAGAAGTGTAGTAGCACTTAACCTGATTATAGGCAATATCATCTAGCTCTTGAAAAGCTGAAGCAGTCACTCTGCTAAACTATGCCAACATCTGTAAAACAAACAAAAAAAAATCTTTCCATAGACTAGAGAAAGATTAAAACCAATAAGAATCTATGTTCTTTTCCATTTTAAAATTATTTTAACTCTGCTATGCTGTACACAGGCTAATAGAAGTCCATCTGATATCAAATTCATCTTATGCCAAAGGAATAGTAGAATGACCATATGCAGCAGCACAGTCCCAAAACCCCCAACTGACATTACTAGAGAGAAAAAAATTGCCTAAAACCCATAATCTTGCTTCAAAATCCTAAAACATCATTATAAACTTTATTAATTTAAAATCATACATTCATCAGCACCTGAACTTTTAATTCTATTTTGCTGATGTAATCTAAAGACATATGAAAATAATGCCAGAGACTGGCAGTTAGTGGATCAGCCAAGGAACCATTCAACCACAGGGATTTGAGCCTGGCTAATTACTCCTTTTCTTTATGTGCACCTATGGATACAATTACGTATTTAGCTACAAAAGACAGGAGATAATATGCTATTGAACAGAACAGCATGGAGCTCTCAAATAAGATTTCACTTCTTTCTTTTCCTTTGTATAACTCTGACATTTAGTGTTGATGGATTTGAGAGTGAGCTGAAAAGTAATTTTCCTTGAAGGCACAGATCTCTGTACTGTGGTAAGTAAAAATTGAGGAGGGACAGTTGTGAAAACTACACCGCAAGATACAAAATTGGGGAGGATTCTCCTTCCTGAATAGTTTTAGATTTTTTTAGACCAGTACATGACAAAGATGATCATCTCTTCCAAATCCCCTGCACCTGCCACAAAAGCACTAAGTAAAACAACCTTTGGCTGGAGAACAAAAAGAAAATACACAATATGACCAGCAAAGCAGTCCATGTTTTAATGCATTTTCTGTCTATAGCTATTATTACTTGAATAAACAATTTAAGAAGCACAAAAAACTATTTTCTTCAACTGAGTCACTGTAACATAGCTAAAGACATTTTTTTTAAAGCTATAAAAATTCAGTCTAAATCCATTCTTTGCAACTCATGTTGGAAACTTCCCATTAGTGTCCTCATCCAAAGACTTTAGAAGCAAAATAATTTCCATTCACTTTAAAACAATAATAAAAAGGGAACTATACTTTAGATGCATGCATGTCTCAAAAAAGATGAATTAAAATATTTAAAAAAAAGTTTTTAATAAAAGCTACCAACATTTGGTTGGAAAATACTCGGAAATCACTCCCACTAAGTACATGCTAGAAGAGCGCTTTATTCCTGCTGTAGGCTACCAATGTTTAACAGTTAAGAACATTACTTTAAATTTGCTGAAAGGTATACGTACTTAATTTGAGAGGATGAAAATGAAGAAGGCATGACAAAACAGCTATAGCTCAATGGCTAAAGAATGCACCAGGTCCTGACAGGCATCACCGCTCTTTGTTCTTTAAGGGTTAACATACTTTGCTAAAAAGCAGAGGTTTACAACAAAGTGGAAAATGTCTTTCTCCTCTTCCAAACAAACAAACAGGCAAGGCTCGTTGGGTAGATACGATATCTTTTAGTAGACCAACACAGCTATAACCAATAACCCTGAAACAAACAAACAAGAAATGTCTTACTTGTTCTGTCTTCTCAGGTTCTTTTCTATCTGTCTGCAAAAATGGATAATTTTCCTTTGCCAGCTTCTGGACTAGTTCAATGCGTCCAATGTCATCTCTTTCTTGAAGTTTGCACAAAACCCCTGCCTTGAGGGTTGGAGAAAGAGCAAACAGATACTTAAATCCACAGTCCCAGGACATGACCCTGACACAAGTTTTAACCTTACAATAAACACTTTTTTTCAATCATATTCACGTAATTCTGTGCCTTTTGCTGAAGTGGACTATATTGTTGCTTCTTGGGGAAACAACATCAGTTTGGAGGCACCGCTAATTTACTCTATGCATCTGCTTCAGAAGAATGAAGGCAGGGCTGGCTAAATCAACTGCTACTATGTGTGAGATATTTTGTTTGTTCCTGTCAACCTATTTCCTGTTACATAAGAGAACCATAGCAAGAGGTTAAAAACTCATGGGAAAGTTAGCCAGGAACAACCTTGGAAAAAGGATGAAGTGCAACAGAGTCACTCCTAAAAATAGCATAATAGAACTTCCACTTCATGAATTCCAGCATTTCTTTATGCATTTAAACTACAGAATTTAAAAGAAAGTTATGCTGCAATTACTTATTTTACAAATGAGAAATTAATATCGTCTGTTGCTATTTCTGTCACTGTGTTTAGACACTGTGACATGTTTTAAACTAGTACTAGATTAGAGTTGCTTTTTTAAAGATAGAATACCACCAAGCAGAGAACCTCAGGATATTCTGATGACACTTGGTCTTTGCTTATGGCTTTGTGGTGTGTTTGTAAAGATGACAAGTCTGTAAAAGCAGATATGTACTCTACATACAGGTGTTTCAGACACACAGGTACCCTCATGCTATTTTATGACAAAAACTAAGCTGTACAGTTTATGGTACTTCAGGGAAAGTCACTAGCTAATGAAGTTACATTACCCTCCACGGTTTGATGACTTTGCTTGCATAACTGAGACCTGGCTGCATGACACTCAGGACCATTATTAGTCCAGATGTTTCCTGATGGATAACAGCAAGAGACTGGGAGGATCAGGGAGGTGCTGTGGCTGTGCTAATGCCATCTGACCTTGAGGGTGCTCTGCTAAGAGGGAGGGTAGGGAACCTTTTCTTTTCCCCATTTAATTTTTGCCACTTTATAAAAGGCAGCCAGAAAATGATTGGGGTTTTGTTTCTTCCTTTTTTTTTTTTAAACAAAGAAAATATCCACACCCCCACAAAGGGTGGTATGATTGTAATGTACAAGTACAATTCCAATAGAGTGTGTTGGTTTATAAAGCCTTATGTTCCATCCAAACAACTAAAACCAGATGAAGCACCCAAATTAAAATCCCCTATATTTAAAATTCTGTAAGATGAGGCAGGGTTATTTTGTTTTTGTTTTAAATGTAGAGGACAGTCATCATAAATGTTCTACTTTCTCTGACTGAACTTCCATTTTTTTTTTTTTTTTTTTTTTTTTTTTACCTTCAG